GGACCATATTACCATGGACTTCATCATGGGTTTACCCAAGTCACCCGAAGGTCATGATGCAATTTACACATTTGTAGATAGACTCACAAAATGTGTTCACCTAGTACCCACAACGGCACCCATAGATGCCGAAGGCAGTGCCAATTTGTATATCCAGCATGTTTTTCGTCTTCGCGGTCTTAGCTCTTCTATAGTGTGTGACCGTGACCCACGATTTACGGACCATTTGTTCCAGGAAGTGTTTCGTTTACTCGGTACTAAGTTGTCGTTTTCCACGGCTAATCACCTTTAAACAGATGGACAGACAGAGCAAATGAACAGATTAATTGCAGATATTCTCAGGTGTTTTGTTAACCACAAGCAAGATAATTGGGCCACACTATTACCCATATGTGAGTATGCCATCAACAATTCCCAGCAAGCATCCACTGGTAATTCTCCCTTTTTCTTGAATTATGGTTTAACCCGAAGGTGCAGACTTCATTCTGGGAACGGGAGCGCGGAGAACTAGGCCAGACTGGATCCAAGCCAGATCTGATGCGCTTAAGAAAGTGCAGGATAGTATTGTCGCGGCTCAAGCCCGCCAGGCCCTGTATGCCGACAGGGGTAGGAATCCTAGCCGTCTCAAGGTGGGAGACCTGGCTCTAGTCTATAGAGACTTTCTGATATCGCCGGAGGCCCTACAACAGCCATCGAGAATGCTACAACCAAAATGGTTTGGGCCGTTCTGCGTCATTCGGGAGGTGGGCTCGAACGCCTACGAATTGGAGCTGCCGTCTGTTTTCCGCAGGCATCCTGTATTCAACGTCACTGCTCTGCAACACTACGAACAGAACACCATTCCCAACAGACGCCAGCCAGTGCCCCCTCCGTTTATGGATCTGGACGGAAACACCCGCTATATGATGGAGGCCATCCAGAAGCACAGAGATGACCGGGGTGAGCGCCAGTACTTGGTGCATTGGAAGGGTTACCCCGTTGGCGAGGCAACATGGGAGCCCATTAGTAGCTTGGTTGACGAGTCAGGTAAAAACATTGTCCAGCTGCGGAGTGATAGCATGGTCTGCAGCTCCTCCATGTTGTGGTTATTTGCGTTCAGTTCCTGACATTATTGAGTTTTTTTAGTTACACAGACTTCCGTTTCTGACAATTGGGTATTCTGTTGCTCCTTGCCACCTGTTGCATTTCTACACCATTATGATATTACTTTATTCCATGCTCTTGGGTTCCGTGATTAACAAATTGTTAAAGCAACGGAACTTTCCGTTGGGGATAAGATGGTGTAACAGTTTTACACCTACTTTCACCACTCACAACTTATCACCTTGTGTCACACCTACTCTCATATTCATAACCAGTATATTGAGTAATAAACGCTCTCTTCTTCCTTCGCTCAATGAAGAACTATTACAGCTTGCATCCAGTTGCTGGTCAAGAGGTGAAGGCGGACCATCTTCTTGAACTGCAGCGTCCCGTCCTTGTATGACTGCTGTGTGAGGATTCTCCGAGGTAGGGAGTTTCATGCGCTCAGCACGCAAGCAGAGATAGCATTGGCCATGGTTGAGCGGGAACGGCAAGGCAGGCACACGGGAAAGTAATGTTACTGGCGTCCCTGGGCGGAGAGGCGGGTGTTGGTGGTTTCATCCGCCAGCTGGAGAGGTTTGGGCATAATTGCTTTCAAGTGGCTTGTAGGTGGGAGGAAGCAGAGTTTGTACAGAAAGCTCAGGGCCGCCACCCTGCGCCTATGCTCCAGGCTTGGTACGGAGACTCGAGGGCCTATCAGCTTGAGTGCCTGTGTTGTACAGCGTCCAGGCGGGCCAGTGGAGCCCCCATCCAGACTAGACAGCAGTACTCCATGGTTGGTTGTATGAAGCCATTGTACACAGCAATACGGCCAGGTGCTGTCAGAAGTGGCGCCACCTTCCGCAGAAAGTGGAGGCGTTGGTGGGCCCTGGTGGCAACCTGGCGTATGTGGGCCGAGAATCGCCGTGTTGTGTCGAACAAAACCCCGTGGAGCTTGATCTTGCCCACTTCAGGCACCCTGGTATCGTTTAACAGTATGCCGGGAAGAGGTGTTGCCGGACGGTGAAAGTCAATTGTGAGTGCCTGGGACTTGGTCGGTTCGAAAGCCATTTTCCACTCAGCACCCCATCGAGCGATGGAGTCCACGGCAAGCTGAAGCTGGGTCGCACTCGCCAGGATGTCACACGTGGCCGCAATGCATTTGTAGACTGTGGTATCATCTGCGTATACACCCAGAGAGGTGCTATCCGGTATTACTTCCTCACAGTCGTTTATGTAAACCAGAAACTGGGTTGGACCCAGGATACTGCCCTGGGGGACCCCAGAAAGCACAGGGTATTCCACTGACTGTTGTCCTCCGACTACAGCACGTAGTTGCCGGCAGCAGAGGTAGTTTGAGAGCCAGTCAAGGATCCCTGATGCCGCATGCCTCTGTCTTATGGAGGACACCTCGATGTGAAACCTTGTCGAACGCCTCGGCGATGTTGATGGCCAGTGCATGTACCATGCCGCCGCTCGCCGCAGTGGATGGCCAGTCGTTGAGCAGCTTCATTGACATATCTGATGTACCCAGTTCCTTCCGGAAGCCATATTGCCGAGAGGAGAATACACCGTGCTTAGAGAAAACAGTGGTTGCCAATTGTTTCTACTGTCTTGGAGAGAATGCAGAGGAGAGACACCGGGCGCCAGTTGCGCAGGTCTTATCTAGATTTCTAGATGGTGAGTGCAACGCCTGGTCGCCTCAAGGGCCCCCAGTCGTAGCTGTGGACGAGGAGTCACGCAGGAGTGGTCCTAAACTTCCTGTTTTGCATTCGCCTGAGCTGAACAGCCGGGAGTCCACCAAGGAGGGTCAGACGGGCGGGTTACAAGGTCACGAGCTTGTATGAATTGCTTCATGCCTTGTGAAATGATGTCGGTGACATTATGACATGATTTGTCGGGACATTGACTGATGGCTGCGGTCTAGTCAGATTGACGATAAAAATGAAAAAGTCGAGGCCAGTCCGCTAGGTTGTAGGGCCAGAATACTCGTTTCGTGGGACGTTCCTCCGACACTTGTGTGGGAAATTCAGCCATCAGAGTTACATCCGAGGCGCCAAGGGGAGGTTTGCAACTGACTGTTACATCAGAAAGATAGTCAGACATAATCAGATCCAGTATATTGTCCCCTCGGGTCTTCATCGTAACATGTTGTTCCAGGCCGTGGCTAACGCACCTATCCTCAAGGAAAAATCCTTTTTTGCGTGCCTTTGGAGCGAGTGAGAAAAGGCACAATAACGTAGAGGCTTGAAGTTGATTGTCTCAAAAATAATTTGGAGCACTGGCAATTTGAATTTTCGAGTGAAATTCGAGAATCGTCACTACAGGCACTCAAAGAGTCGAAACTAGGCCTTCTTTCGCCTGAAAAAGGCCTGTAAACAGAAAAGTAGATTTGAATGCAGCTCGCATGCTTCATACACTAGTACATGGAGCAGTGGTCTTGCATGGAGCTACAGTAACGTTACTAGTGCATGATGGAGCGGTACAACGGCCGCGAGGGACACCAGGAACTCCGTTTTATCCCGGTGATCTTCAGCCAGGAGGAGAAGCGAGTCCAACCAATCGACTTGCTATCCTGTCATTCAAAGCTTACGTACTCTTTCTATAATGCAACAACCACAGCGCATCTCAAAATGTTTACTTCTCAAGCTCGAGAAGAACTACAGACTGCAGTACTTACTCGAGTGGTGGAGTCAAAAATTTCTGCTACTTGCTAAACCTCTTTTTCATTCGAATTTTCGCACAGTCTTTCAGTTTGGCACGACCGTAGTGGAACCGAAATTTGATTTGCTGATGCTCCGTAGTACGTTTGCATTCTGCGATGGATGAGAGTGAAATGGCGTCGATTGGACGAATTTACTTGCATACCAGGCTTGGGGACGACTTTGCTGTGTTCCTGCGCCTGGTATGTGGAGGTTGCTCCATGGAACCTGGTATCATCGCGTTGTTCTCACCAGGAGCTTTCCAAGGAGCACAAAATTGTGAAAATCGAGTGAAGAAAACTAAAGTTATGACCTCAGTTTGAAGGTGAAAATTGTGCTGAAATTTCTAATTGTGCTTCAGGCTGTGCTGGTAATCAATGTGCAAAGGGTCAAAATTCCTGTTCAGTCACTTTCAGATAACTGAGTGACATGTCAGTTCGACCTGTTCTACAATATTTCCACTTTATAGCTACCCAGCTTATGTTACTACTGTACTAGTCATTAATGTTTTGAGTATTTTGTGCATCATCATGAAAATTCTTGAAAAAGGCATGAATGGCATCAAACACAATAAAGTTTCTATGTGTCAGTCTTACAGGTTATAACTGTTAACCGACCGTTAGGCTAACAGCTAACCATTAGGCACAAATGTGTAACCGTTTCAGCCCTACTTATCATATTGTTACAGCCGTGGATAGTTGCTTCATAACTCGTTCCCATGTGTTTTCTTCTTATTATTTACAAAGAGAGAATGCAATTGTTATAACATCATTTTTCACGGCTGGGTGTGAGTGCCATGACAGTTAATTTTAATGTTACACTCTTTTTGCTGAGGATCTCTAGAAATCCTTTTATCCCCTTTTCAACTCACTCAACCAATGTGCGTCTGATACTTTCGGTTTGTCAAGTACTAGCAGTAGGTTGGGATTGAGCTCATCGAAGAGTGTGCCTATAGTGGGAGCAGAAACCCCTCCCACCCTCCCCCTCCCCTCCTCCCTCCCCCCCCCCCCCCAGCCTGGGTAGTGTAAGAGGAAGTGTGCGTTTTTTTAGGCTGAATATATTATTGAACTGTCTCTCCTGAGATGACAGTTATACCATACCTCCGTGTTTTCAACATCACTGGTCTAAATTTTTCGAATCCTGGTAGTGGCAGTCAATTTTTCTTAAGACTTTTGGTCCCTTTTCAGCACCTTCAACTAATGAATAGTCCTGTTGGTGACTGTCTGTGTGCTTTAGCTGGGCCGTACACCTCTCCACCTAGCCTGCGAGAAAGGCTTTCCTGAGTGTGCTGAGATATTGTGCAATGCTAAAGCGGAGGTGAATTTGACAGACGATGTAAGTATGCATATGTCGTTGACTTTCAAGAACTGCGGCACATTGAGAGCTGTGAGTGCGCCTATGCAGTGTCTTCACTTGGATTTCAAGCCAATCAGGCACACTTGTACCTGGCACAACCTATGCAACCGGGCCAGCGCCGGGTCCGTCCAAGTGTGGCTACTGCATTACGGAGTTGTAACTATTTAAGGCTCCCCAATGTATATTGACTATATATTCCCAACCGGGTCACAGGTGACCCGGTGTTCTTTTTCCAAACGGGTTCAAATATGCCCAGACCGGGTCGCTGACTCGGCTGACCCGGCTCTGGAGCAGACAAAGCTTTCCAGTATCGCACCGAATGGGGGGCAAATATATCAATTTTCTTTTAACGCAGGTGGTAGTTTCAGCCAATGAGTTGCGCAACCTGTACTGTATGCTTACCGAAAAGTATCAGATCCTACTGCGCAAGAATATCACCAAGAAATACCCGGTTTTTTTCCAGATGAGGCCAAAGCTATGAAGACCGCTACCGAGCTTGGCTTCGATGATATGAGATTGGTTACTTGCTAAGACGCAGTGTTTTTTGTAACATGGAAAGACGACAAGACCTCCCGCAACATGTAAAATAGGCATGGTCAGCCAGGCAGTTTTAGATGTGATAGTTGGCATGCTACGCAGTACCGTGAGCCACAACTTGTGGCACCACAGAAAGTCGGTTATTAACTGGCTCCGCTAAGTGAAGCCAAAGAATTTCTGGTGTTCCCTTTAGCCAATTTTTATCCATCAATCACAAGAAAGCTCTTACTAGAGGCATTATCTTATGCCCGGTTGTATGTCAAAATTCCCCAGAGAGATGGTGACATAATGCTGCAGGCCAAGAATTCCCTGCATTTTGACTGCGGCGAAACCTAGATGAAGAAAGAGAAAAATAACGCTTTTGAAGTAAAGATGGGATCGTTTGCTGTCGCCAAAGTGTGCGAGGTGGTGGGTGAATACATCCTAAGTAAACTGAGGCTTCTTCTTGAGGAAAAAAGCGTCGGATTATGCAGCAATGATGGTTTCGCCATCCTGAGCCACGTCTCCGGGCATGATGCGGAACTCACCCGGGTACCTACCAATCTTATCGCAAGCCAAATAGCACCCCATCATATGGGCCTCAACCAGCGAAAACAGCCCTTAGGGTCAAATTTTTCAAAACCATTTTTGGTTAGAAATTTGTTGAAACACATCTACTGAAGGACCTCAGCCAAGAAAAAGTTCAATATTCCGATTCAAAACGGGTGTATACACCAATATACAAGGTGTACTCCAAATTAGTGCAATGTATGTATACGATTTATGTTTACAAAAAATATTCAGCATTCTAAGGTGGGTAGGCAACTTGATTACCTTTGAAATAGTGCAGTAAGCAGCTAGAATGACAAAGAATAGCTGAAGAGTGCGGAGACATGATCGACTTATTTGCAGCTGCATCCTGCGTGGAGTCTTTCCGCAATGTCTTCCATTTCTTCCTCCGCAGCTGAAGACACGACGTCGCTGCCGTCACTAGCCCCAGACTCAGAATTTATCTCAGGTGATGACTCCTCATCTTCCGACTCTGACGAGTCGTCGACCACCTTGAGCCGCAACGCAGCAGGAGATGACGGCTGCGATTCCGCCTCACTGTCGACATCGATGTCGGAACCAAAGAACGTCTCATCCTCACTCTGAACTTCAGCGGCTACTTCAGCATCCACTCCCCACCAGGCTCGAGCTAGCTGTACACAATGCCTGCCACGTGTGCTCTGCGAACAGCTCTGTCGTCCGCAGCCATCGCAACAAGATTAAGGAACACTCGATTCACCACTTGACACCACTTCAACTAACTAACTTCAAATAAATTCAAGCAAGGAGTTCAAGAAGAACTCGTCGCGCTGTTTGCAGCGCGATCAAAAAATCGTTGAACATCACAAATCGACCTTTTTCTTGAAAAAATTACGAAACCTCTACGGGTCGTTTTCGCTGATTGCGTCTCATATATGGACTTGCAGTCAAACCACCCACCAAAAATCCTGAAGATTATCCCTGCTGGCGTAATGAAGCGGATAAGCAGCATTCCTTGTAACGAGAAGGTTTTCGAAGATACCAAACTGCCATACCAGTATGCCTTTGTCGCCAGCGGTCGTCCACAGTAAATGCAGTTCGTTGATAATGCAGCTGGTAAAAACAAGGTGACCCAGAGGGAGGAGGAACACTGAGTCATTTTATATTTTTACTAAAAGCCATGTGGTGCACACAATGGGAACATGCAGCAACCAGGGTGGTTGGGGCCAGGCGCTCCGTCGACCAATTGGTCTAGACATCGTCATGCTCCGGAGGCACCAGATAAATGGAAGTTTGAGGGAAAGATGAAGAACAGGGGAAGCGGGAAGAGACGGGGGGGGGGGGGAGAGAGATTGAGAAAGAGAGTACATGGGAGCGTGTAGTTCAGCAAGTTCATGTAGCAGGCTTACAAGACTTGCTTGTGTAACAGTTTTACACCTACTTTCACCACTCACACCTTATCACCTTGTGTCACACCTACTCTCATATACATAACCAGTATATTGAGTAGTAAACGCTCTCTTCTTCCTACGCTCAATGAAGAACTATTACATTGGTAGCAAGAGGATGGATCTCCATCCCCTGTGGTAGTTCGTGGGCCTAGTTCTGGCCTCGGCTATCAGCTCTATCGTCGTCAGCATCTGGATCATCTACCCTCTACTCACTCGTCACCCCAGTGCGTTCCTGAGTCTCGTGCTTCAGCTTCCCAGCCTGCACCGCGTGATCACCCACACGTCAAGGAGCCGCCCGTGTTCACCGGAGATCCCAACACGTTTCGGGAATAGGCATTTGCCGTCGAGTTGGCCTTGGCTTCATGGCGCTTCGCGGATCCTAAACGTGAAGCTGAGTTTGCAGCCAGTTATATCGCTGGAAATCCGTGTCTGTGGTTGATGACTGCCCTGGAAGCCGGCGGTGCATACCCAGACTGGTCGTCCTTGAAAATCCTTGAAGAAGGCATTAGAGGCGGCTTACGGTGTGAAGTACGACCAAGAGAGAGAGAGCTCGGTGGAGTTTGTTCTCCCTCTCCCAGCGCGGCGCCTTAGGAGACTACATCGCAGAATTCTCGCGGCTCAGTTTTTTTAATCACTGACCTGGATGGCCACTCTCGCCCAGTACAATTTGTCAGGGGCCTGGCCCCGGAGCTCAGGCGTGAAGTCATGAAGGAGCATACTACAACCCTGCAGAAGGCGACAAAAGCAGCGCTCGCCGTATCGCAAGTGATGCCCTTCATTACGGTACGACAGCAGCAGGGGAACCCGATACGTCGTCCACTGTCGGTTCCTGGTCCCCGTTCCAATCGCGAGGAAACGGAACGACGATGCTACATATGCCACTGACCTGGTCATCTGGCACGTCAATTTGACTCGAACCCAAACGCTGGACGCCAGTGAAAAGAGGGGTGCGATTACTGGCGCTCATGTAGAATAAGGACACTTTTCTGGTGCCGCTGTACTTCTGGTACTTCAAGATCAGCGCTGCAACTCGCCATGGTGATAATGTGGCTGACGTCATGTTACCAAGGAAAACATGGCGTTTGGCCGTGTTCGCCGCACTCGAGCGCTCAGCTTTTTTTCACAATCTTGTTTTGAAAAATACTTCAAGTCTTTTGCAGCACTTTTGGAGGCCAGTCACATCGCGATCTGTACGAGTATCTTTATCATGGCCATTGTCTTGTGTCGTTTTGAGCTCGAATAGCTTTCTCTGGTGAAGGATTCAAATATCACGACGTTCTCTTTTATCGTGGGCATGAAGCTTCCCACTCGCAGCGGGGATGACATCGAACGGAATAAATGTGTCGAGTCCCGAGCAGGAGTTCTGCTGACAAAAGTGATTAGCTCCTCGCGACCTGGGGCATGTGAGGACTACAGTTCTAGTTGGGCAATACCCCATGGACACATCTAGCTCCAAACGCAGAGTCGATTGAGAAAAATGACCAAGATCATAAAGAAGGCTTGTTTACTTCCACAAAATGTTTTAGTAGAGTCCACTGTTCAGTCATACAGTACATCAGTGCAGTACAGAGTGCACTTGCAAGTCACAACGACACAAGCACAGTTGCGTGTACAGACTCAGTTGTGACCAGCGATCGCGAGTGGGAGTCAAGTACCCTACTCAAGTGCGCATGCTCGGCTCGCTGCATGCACTGTCTGTAATGCTAGCTCTACAGCAGATTGCTGGTGTGATGCACTACATGTACAGCGCAGTCATTTATGTGTAAGAGACAATGTCGGCTATTTTGAAACGGCATTGACAGCTTCCTCCATAAACACGGAGCGTGGGGAATGTCTTTGGCGAATGAGAGCTGCTGCATTGGCTAGCTGTATATCCCAGCAAGCGGGAATGTCCTGGATATCGATACTAAACACCCGTTCATCGTGGTGGTGAGTCTGAACAGACCCCGAGGTACGACAGCTTTGTATACTAAATGTGTACAGTGCGTATGGTGAAACAAGTTGATACTGGTTTCCAGCGAAATGTTGTTATCTATGTACAATATCCACCAATGTCCTTTATCTAGGTCCCAAAGGCTATCCAGTTCACCAGGATTTGTGGCCCTACTATTTTTTGTTTTCTCCGCGTTTTGGGTTGAAATCTGAACATAAAAAGTAGCACTGATGACGTCATTCAGCTCATAATTTAAAAATGATATTGGAAATCGATGACAACTAACCCAATGTATCAACACAGAAAATTTGGTTGAAAAATATTAATGTATGCCAAAGTTATTACCAATACAAGTTTTGTACACACATGATCACCAGGCGTGTGAGAGAGCACCCAAGTTCACCGTGCCAGTCACCAACAGGTTTAGTTGCCTGGAGACAGACGAAGTGGAGACTGATGTCAGAGTGATGATGGAGACGACACCCTGGAGTCTCAAGGCCCACGGTGCGTGCGGAGCTACGTCAGCAACATTGCCCTGGATTCGCACGCGC